TCCGAAACCCTAAGCCCTAAACCCTAAACCCTACACCCTAAGGCCTACACCCTAAGCCCTAAACCCTAAATCCGAAACCCTAAACCCGAAACCCTAAACCCTACACCCTAAGGCCTAAACCCTAAGCCCTAAACCCTAAGCCCGAAACCCTAAACCCGAAACCCTAAACCCTAAACCCTAAGCCCGAAACACATAGCCCTAAACCCTAAACCCTAAACCCGAAATCCTAAACCCTAGACCCTAAGGCCTAAACCCTAAGCCCTAAACACGAAACCCTAAACCCGAAACCCTAAGCCCTAAACACATAGCTCTTAGATCCCCAGGCCTCCAGGTGCGGACGAAAAGCTCGAAGACTCTGAACCCGAAGTCTCTGTCTCCCTCAAATCAAGCTCGAAAAGCGCCAAACTTTAGGGTTTAGGGTTTAGGGATTTAGGGATTTAGGGATTTAGGGTTTAGGGTTTAGGGTTTAGGGTTTAGGGTACCTGTTTTGTTCGTGAGTTTGGGCTATTTTCATAGCGCTGCTTGGGGTGGTATAGGGTTTTAGACTTTTAGTTGCGACTTGAACAGATCATGGGACTCACCAAGTAGGCTGTAAGTGGGATTATGAGTGCCTTGTGGGAGCTAACTTGCCACTTGCCACATTACCTGGTCCCTCCCCAGTAGAAATCCATAGAACACCATGCAGCCTGCGTGATGCTGTTGATGATGAAAATTATGCATTACCCATAATAAGGAATATACCAAAGCTCCCATAGTTTAGGGCCCTTAACGTACTGCAGGATTTGTATTATCAACAGTAGGGCCTCTGACTCTTCAGGCACTTTTCACCATGGAGCCCTTTTACAATCCTTCTACAACCCCACTGACGGCAGTGGCAACACCCCAAAAATTAAACAAACCCTAAACCCTAAAACCCTGAACCCAAAACCCTAAACCCTAAACCCTAACCCCCCGCCTCCCCCCCAAAAAAAAACCCAAACCCTAAACTAAGACCGTAAGTTCCTAAGCCCAAGTGTAGGTGACCTTCGATCACGCCGTTGTCGCTGCAGCCATGTCGCGCACCCAGAGCAGACCCTAGGCAGTTCATGTGGATTCTAAAAGGGGGTTTAGGGTTTAGAGTTTAGGGGTTAGGGGTTAGCGTTTAGGGTTTGGCGTTTGCGATTTAGGGTTCAGGGTTCAGGGTTTAGGGGTTAGGGGTTAGCGGTTAGGGTTTGGGGTTTCGGGTTTAGGGTTTAGGGTTTGGGGTTTAGGGGCTAGGGGTTTAGGGGTTAGGCTGCTGCTGCTGCTGCTGCTGCTAGTATTCGCTGCGGCTACTACTACTCCGACGACGACTACTACTACAACTAATTCTACGACTGCGACCACTGCCACTACAACCGGCACCACTGCTACCGCTACCGCTACCGCGACCGCGACCACTGCCACTACCAGTACCACTACCACTACCACTACCACTGCGCGAGCTACTGCTGCTACTGCTGCTACTGCTGGCACTTGTGCCAGTGCTACTGCTGAATCTTGTGCTGCTACTGCTACCGCGAGCACCAATGGTGGTACTGTTTTCGTGCTACTGCTACTCCGACTGCACCTTCTGCTTCTGTCACTGCTTTTCCGACTGGTGCCGCTGCCACAGCAACTTTCTCTTCTGTTTCTTCCATGCAGTACTAGTGGCAACAGTCGCAGACGGGATGCCAAGACTCTCTCCAAAATAGTGCATGATAGCAGTTGTGCTCGCCGGAGTACTAAGCGTGAAGGTAACAGTGTTCTCGGTGGCATTTCTGGTGGTTTGCGGCATACTGACGCCCTAAACTAATTTTGAACTTCCTCAATTTAAAATGTCTCATCCCGTAAAACCCTAAAGCCCTGGAGCCCGAACTCGAACACTGAACACGGATACGGCGGTCAGCTGCATCGTTCTGAAGCTCGCTCAGGTCGGAGATGCACAGCTGGCCTGCTTGTGACCCAGAGCCTTAACAGCCGCCTTAACCCTGAACTTCCAAACTCCTAAACCCTCTAAACCCTAAGCCCTAAACTTCTAAACTCCTAAACCCTCTGAACCCTCAACTCCTAAACTCCTAAACCCCAAACCCTAAACGCTAAACCCTAAACTCCTAAACCCCAAACCCTAAACTTCTACACTCCTAAACCTTCTAGCGCTTCGGTTTTCAAGGTGTTGGGCTTTTGAGTTTTGGGGACTCCGGGCCTGAAGATCATGGTTTAGGGATCAATGTTGTCTTGCGCTGTCCGGAGCGTGACCGGCGAGCTGACGGCAGCTCAGCCCCGGATCTCCCTCCTAAACCCTAAACCCTAAACCCTAAACCCTAAACCCTAAACCCTAAACCCTAAACCCTAAACCCTAAATCCATTAAACCCTAAACCCTAAATCCTAAACCCTAAGCCCTAAACCCTGAACCCTAAACCCTAAACCGTGTGGAAGAACTGATGTCGCCTCTTGGCGTAGCAGTCCAACCGTTGCAGGAGGTCTGGGCAACCGGGTGAGAAGGTGAGAATGGGCTTTGGACAGCTCATAACACGTTCTGCTTTGTCCGAGCTATACACGATGTGCTTAGCGATGCTGATGCACTTTATTGCAAGCTCATGGGAACTGCGGAACAACTCCCTTCCTATGTTGACTTCTTTCACCTGATGGCCTTGGCAGCCTCCCGCTGATGCGGTGAAGAGCCAAGTGGATCGTGTGTGCACCTATTGCAGCACTCCTACGACAGGAGTTGCCGCCTGTGCCCGATACCATAGTAGCCTGGTGGGAGAAGCATGGTGGACCCCAAACATCCTTCCTTGGAAGGAGATAGGGTTTAGGATTTAAAAATGGATTTAGGGTTTACGGTTTTGGATTCAATGGAGCCTTCCTTGATTGGGAGATGCGGTTTAGGATTTACTGGATTTAGCGGGTAGGGTTTAGGATTTAATGGAGGAGCTTCCTTAGTTGCGAGATGGGGTTTAGGATTTAAATGGATGTAGAGCTTAGGGTTTAGGATTTAATAGAGCTTTCCTTGGTTGGGAGATAGGGTTTGGGATTTAATGGATTTAGAGCTTAGGGTTTAGGATTTAATGGAGCTTTTTTGGTTGGGAGATAGGGTTTAGGATTTTATGGATCTAGGGTTTAGGGTTTTGGATACAATGGAGCCTTCCTTAGTTTGGGGATTGGGTTTCGGATTTATTGGATTTAGGGTTTAGGGTTCAGGATTTGATGGAGCCTTCCTTAGTTGGGGTTTCGGGTTTAGGATTTATTGGAGCCTTCTATAGTCGGGAGATGGGGTTTAGGATTCAATGGATTTAGGGTTTAGGGTTTCGGATTTAATGGAGCCTTTCTTAGTTGGGAGATAGGGTTGAGGATTTAATGGATTTAGGGTTTCGGGTTTAGGATTTAATGGAGCCTTCTTTAGTTGGGAGATTGGGTTTAGGATTTAATGGACTTACGGTTTAGGGTTTAGGATTTAATGGAGCCTTCTTTAGTTGGGAGGTAGGGTTTAGGATTTTATGGATTTAGGGTTTGGGGTTTAGGATTTAATGGAGCGTTCCTTAGTTGGGAGATAGGGTTTAGGATTCAATGGATTTAGGGTTTGGGGTTTAGGATTCACTGGAGCCTGCCTTGGTTGGGAGATGAGGTTTAGGGTCTGGGGTTTAGGGTTGAGGGTTTAGGGTAGTTGTGGGAACATTTTTCTGGTCCGTGTGACGGTGTGACATCTCAACCCTCAACCCTAAAGCCCTAACCCGGTAGAACCCAGGTCTTCAACCCCCAAACCACACAGGTCGCGGTTCGCGTGCCCTGTGGGTTCTGGCTCGGTGTGTAGGAGACGAGCTCTGGGCTTTGGGAGCTTAAGGCAGAAGAGCTACCACCAAGCCGAACCCCTAAAGGACCCCCTGAGCACTCAACGCGCGCTGAGAGCCTGCCTTTTGAGATACCTAAAGACTGCAACCCTGAATACCGGTTTAGGGTTTAGGGTTTAGGGTTTAGGATGAACCCTGAACCCTCAACCCTGGAGCCTAATGAAGCCCTACACCTTACAACCTTAAAGCCCTAAAGCCCGAAACCCTGTGGGTGCCAGGTCGATCCGGGATCAGAACGTCTTTATGGCCCGCCTCGCCGAGCAGGCCCCTTTGAGTAGTTCTCTCAATTAAGGTCCCTTCAAAAGGATCCTTTAGGGTTTAGGGTTTAGGGTTTAGGGTGCCGTACTAATTTGGGGACCTAGAAAGGGTGCCTAATTCAGAGAACGACCCTCGTACGCACTTCCCGTAAGA